AGGGTAGGAACAACTTTGCGGGTCAAAATTTGCCGGGATTCCCTTGGCACCCTGGAAAAGTCCTGCAAATACCACACAAATCGGGAAAGGGTAGGAACAACTTTGCCGGTCAAAATTTGCCGGGATCCCCTTGGCACTCGGGAAAAGTGATGCAAACACCACACAAAACGGGAACGGGTAGGAACAACTTTGCGGGTCAAAATTTGCCGCCTTCGTATGCCATGAGAAATGCGCGGCTCGATTTGGCCAAATTTTGCCCGGAGGCTGCCCGGCAAAATTTGGCCAAATCGGGCCCCTGGACATTGAAATGAAATCAATTTTTCAATTCCCCGATACTAAATCACGAGCCCGGGCCTCCCCCTCAACACTAAATTACGAGCCCGGGCCTCCCCCCAATACTGAATTACGAGCGCGGGCCTCCCCCCAATACTAAAGTACGAGCCGGGGAATTAAATAATTTAAATAATTTTAATGCCCGGACGCCCCCCCCTGGTGCATTTAAATTATTTAAATTATTTAAATTATTTAATTCCTGACCCCCCAACCCCGACCCGCAAATGTTGTTCCTACCCTTTTCCGTTGTGTGTGGTATTTGCAGGACTTTTGCAGGGTGCCAAGGGGATCCCGGCAAATTTTGACCCGCAAATGTTGTTCCTACACTATTCCGATTTGTGTGGCATTTGCAGGGCTTTCGCAGGGTGCCAAGGGGATCCCGGCAAATTTTGGCCCGCAAATGTTGTTCCTACCCTTTTCCGTTTTGTGTGGCATTTGCAGGATTTTTGCAGGGTGCCAAGGGGATCCCGGCAAATTTTGACCCGCAAATGTTGTTCCTACCCTTTTTCGTTTTGTGTGGTATTTGCAGGACTTTTGCAGGGCGCCAAGGGAATCCCGGCAAATTTTGACCCGCAAATGTTGTTCCTACCCTATTCCCGTTTGTGTGGCATTTGCAGGACTTTTGCAGGGTGCCAAGGGGATCCCGGCAAATTTTGACCCGCAAATGTTGTTCCTACCCTTTTCCGTTTTGTGTGGCATTTGCAGGACTTTTGCAGGGTGCCAAGGGGATCCCGGCAAATTTTGACCCGCAATTTTTGTTCCTACCCTTTTTCGTTTTGTGTGGCATTTGCAGGACTTTTGCAGGGTGCCAAGGGGATCCCGGCAAATTTTGACCCGCAAATGTTGTTCCTACCTTTTTCCGTTTTGTGTGGTATTTGCAGGACTTTTGCAGGGTGCCAAGGGGATCCCGGCAAATTTTGACCCGCAAATGTTGTTCCTACCCTTTCCGTTTTGTGTGGCATTTGCAGGACTTTTGCAGGGTGCCAAGGGGATCCCGGCAAATTTTGACCCGCAAATGTTGTTCCTACCCTTTTCCGTTTTGTGTGGCATTTGCAGGACTTTTGCAGGGTGCCAAGGGGATCCCGGCAAATTTTGACCCGCAAATGTTGTTCCTACCCTTTCCCGTTTTGTGTGGTATTTGCAGGACTTTTGCAGGGTGCCATGGGGATCCCGGCAAATTTTGACCCGCAAATGTTGTTCCTACCCTTTTCCGTTTTGTGTGGTATTTGCAGGACTTTTGCAGGGTGCCAAGGGGATCCCGGTCTCCTGTCTTCATTTCTCCTCCATGATTTTCATTGCTCTTCCCATGAAAATTGCTTCCTTTTGATCTCTCCTCTCTCCTTTCTCTCTCCCTTCTCTTCTCTTGTTCTCTTTTGAATCTCAAAATCACACCAAAGGAAGCTTCTTTTCCTTATTGAATGAAAAAGAAAAACAAGAAAAGAGATAGGTAAAGACACTGAAGAGCTCCACTGCCTATTGTTTCATTCCCTTTCCTCTCTTTCTATGTGTTGTTTCCTTGTCGTTTCAGAAAGCTAGCAAAATAAGAGCAAGGGGGCTTCCTGAAGAGGAGAGAGGGCACCTATTTTTTTTAATTATAGAGGGGAAAGCGAGAGACAAGGAAGGGAGAGATGATAGATAAAGAAGAGTGCTATCCGTCTCCTTGTTTCTTGTGTCTTCTCTTCTTTTCAGTTCATCATATTCCTCTTTTCGGCCTGTCTCTTCTGCTCTTTTCCTTACCCTTCTCCTTTTCAAGTTCTTCCAATTTAGTTTTTCTGTTTCGAAAAGAAAGAGGGAAGGGAGAGAGAAGGGCGAGAGGATAGATAAAGAAGAGTGCCATCTTCTTTGCGCCTTGTTTTGTCTCTCCATCTTCTTTGTTCATCTCTCTTCTATTCTTTTCTTGGCTCTTCCCATTAGAATTGTGTTCCTTTTATCTCTCCTCTCTCCTTCTCTTTCCCTTGTCTTCTCCTGTTCCCCTTTAAATGACAAAAACACAAGAAAGGAAGAAGAGGGGAATGGAGGCCCTTTTCCGGTATTCTCCTGTTGCAATGAATAAGGAAAAGAGCATAGGAGATAAGGAAGGGAATTGAAAAGAAAATGGGCGATCGGGTGTCCTTTTTGCTAGTTTTCTGCATCTTCAAGGAAGAAAAAAGGACACCCACCCAAGAAGGAAAAGTAACTTAAGAGATAGGGAGGAAATTGAAGAGCTCCTCTCTTTACCTAGTCATTCCCTGTCCTCTCTTCTTATCTGTTGTTTGTCTTATTCGCTTCAAAAAGCAAAATAAGGGAAAGGCGATTTCCTGAAGAGGAAGAAGGGCGCCTACCTGTGAATAGCAAGATTGATTTTTTCTAATTAGGGAGAGACTTGCCCCGCCTGAGCCTCCCTGGCCTGCTTGTTGTGGCCACATACAGTTGCGCTTCCAGCAAAATGGCATCCTTGTTATCTCGTCTCACTTCTCTTTCCCTTCTCTCCTTCTGTTTCCTTTTGACTGATAAACCACAAGAAAGGAACTTGTGTGATAAGGCAGTGGAAGGGTAAGCAGAGGGTGACTCCTGGCGCGTGGACCGGTCCATACTTCATCATACCCCTCCTCTCGGCCTATCTCTTCTGTTCCTTTCCCTACCCTTCTCCTTCTCATAGTTCTTCCTTTTTGTTTTCTTATTTCGAAAAGAAAGAGGGAAGGGAGAGAGAAGGGAGAGAGGATAGATAAAGAAGAGTGCCATCTTCTCTGCGCCTTGTTTTGTCTCTCCCACTTCTCTATTCATCTCTCTTCTATTCTTTTCTTTGCTCTTCCCATTAACAATGCAATCCTTTTGTCTCTCCTCTCTCCTTCTCTCTCCCTTCTCTTCTCCTGTTCCCCTTTAAATGACAAAAGCGCAAGAAAGGAAGAACAAGAGGGGAATGGAGGCCATGCTCCTTTCTTTTCCAATGGATGGGGAAAGCGAGCGGGGTTGGCTCCTTGTCCGTAGACCCTCCCCATGCTGCAGCAAATCCCTCCTCTCGCCCTATCGCCTCTGTTCTTTTCCTTGTTCCCAAACGGAAAAAGAAAACGGGTTCCTTTACATGTTCATTGTTCTTCCTTTTGTTTTTATTTGAAAGGGAAAGATAAGAAAGAGAGGAAAGAAGAAAACGAGCACCATCTTCTCTTTGCCTGATTTTGCACCTCCCTCTCCTGTCTTCATTTCTCTTCCATGATTTTCATTGCTCTTCCCATGAAAATTGCTTCCTTTTGATCTCTCCTCTCCCCTTTCTCTCTCCCTTCTCTTCTCTTGTTCTCTTTTGAATCTCAAAATCACACCAAAGGAAGCTTCTTTTCCTTATTGAATGAA